AAGACAGTGAAAGGTTGATAAGGCAGAGCGAGTCAGAAATCTTTGTCTTGCTTTCCTTGGTACTTTAGCTGCTGTTCCAGATGGCTGGAACTCCAGCAGAGAATGCCTTTGGCCATTAGATTGTGTGAAGAAATGCAGAGGCAGCCAGCAGAGCTAGATTTTGGACTTCATGAAGCTCATGGCCATGGGCCCCCCGGGTCTGGGAGAATCTTGGCTTTCTTTAAAAAAACAAAACAAAAGTACAGTTCTAGTCCCTTCCTGTTTGTTAGGGTGACCATATTTCCCAAAGGGAAAATGGGACACTGCGGGGAGCTGGCCCAAGCCCTCCCTGCCCACCCAGAGCTGGCCCAAGCCATTTGCCCGAGCCCTGCCTGTCCCCCACTGAAGCTCTGCCATCCCCCCACCCGCCCCTGTGTAAGGCTGGCATCGCCACTCACCTCCTTGCACATTCCTCCTCACCGCACCCCACTTTTTTGACAAAAGTGGGCATTTGACCCATTTGCTCTTGCCAACTGATCAAATCAAAAAGACAAATTGGACAAATACCCAATTTTGCCAAAAAAGTCAGGACGCCCAAGACAGGCTTAAAAAAGGGACTGTCCCAGCCAAAACGGGATATATAGTCATCCTACTGTTTGTAGATAGCCTTCAGATGTAAACAGATCTAATCCATTTTCATGAATCTGTGCTACACTTCCTCAGCGGGAGTCTGTGAGGGCATAAAACACACGTACAAAGCGAAATTATTCAGTTTGGGGTGCGTCCTAAAGAACCACCTCACTAACCCAGCTTTAGGCTGGCTCTGTGCACAGTGCTAGGATCACACCAGTCAGTTATATCTGAGATGAGGAAAGCAAGATATTGTTCCAGAAGCCCCCACAAAAGTACTAAAGCCATGTCTGGCAGCCAGTATTAGCCATAAGAGGGATTGGGGAGGGGCGTAGAAAGAGACAAGGCCAATGAGGTAACCTGTGGCAAATATATCCAGCGATAATAAATAAGGAGCTAGTGCAGTTGTCTGATGACAGGGGTGATAGGATTGTGCTTCTTTTGTGTGTGAAATAGCTAATAGCAGCAGTCTGCATAAGCTGCGGCCTGTAGAGTTGGGATCTGGGGAGACCACAGAGAAGGCAGTTCCAATCTTCAAATCAGATTACAGTAACTCTTTGCAGTCAGAGTACAAAAAGCCAGTAGAAGAACCAATGCAGTTTGACTTCAATTAGATTATATTCATTTTTTTATCTTTGGGAGGAAGAGAAAGAAAAGGAAGCATCCAAATCTATTCCCCATCCTCCTCTTCGCAATAGACTAATTCAGTAGGGACCTGCTGGGTACAGGCCAAACATACAACAGTTCACCAAAATATTAATGGGATAGCTGTATATAATCTGACATATGCTTACATTCCCATAAACTTCAGAGCATTGATCAAATATAGCACTGAGAAGCAATGACATTATTCCTCCTAACTCAGCAATTTAAACTGTGGCTGTCGCCTAATTCCGAGAGACCCCAACATGTTTAATCTCTCAATACAGATTAGCAGCCCTAATCTAAATAAACCTCACTGACAGCACTATTAGAGCTCATTAGAGTTCTCACCAGATGTTTCAGTTTGTGTATACGAAGGACTCTGGTTTTTCATTCCAATATATGACCCATGATACGAACATATTTTGTGAATTAAAACATGCAGTCTCAACATATCTTCAAATTCTTGTTCTTCTGGGGGTAAGTCAATACAAAGCAGAGACAAAGGATTCTATCTTTGTACATCTTAAAGGTAGTTTTTGTTTTATGGACACTTCTCAATGTTTCTCACATGCCTATACAGCTATGACTAATACACACAGTATTTGCTTTTAAACTGAATGTGCAGAGTGCATTTATTAGTCTGAATATCACAGAGTGTACATGCAGACTGATCCGGAGGTACTCAGCAATGTGTCAACACCAGAACTGTCAACAGCTTTTACAGTGTAGTTGTACCCACGTTGGTCCCAGGATAGTAGAGAGACAAGGTGAGTGAAGTAATATCTTTTATTAGACTGACTTCTGGGCCAGACCTGAAGAAGAGCTCTGTGTTGCTCAAAAGCTGGTCTCTTTCACCAGCAGAAGTTGATCCAATAAAAGATATTACCTCACCCACCTTGTCTCTCAAACTGTTGTTACAGACCGAAGAACCTGAAAAACTCCTGTGGTGACTAAGTTGCTGCAGATAGTCAAAGTATTTTTAAAAACAAGTTATGCCCCTAGTCCAGTTTTGAACTGAATGAAAATAAATAGACAAGGGGACCAGATATGTAGATTGCATAAAGAATGTCTAACTGTATCTATTAAGCAGGATTCTTTAGGGATCATTGATGGTATATTGGTGCATCAATGCTTAAGAAGACATGAAGTGATGGCCGCTATCACAGTATCAGTTCACCAGTCACATAGGTACAAAGCATCCGAATGGAAAACAGATTCTTGATTCTCTGAATCTCCCTCGAGGCCTGGGCTGCTGAGGACTACAGCACTCTCCTTTCTTGGCTAATTCTCAAGACAAACACATTCTGGCCTCAACTGCTGCTTCTTTCCAACTGCTGGTGAAAACTCCAGTCAGTCTGAGAGTTTAAGACGATGACTTGGGGCACAACTCAGTCCAAGAAAAATGCTTGTGTGGGAATATAATGCTGCTGCTGCTGAGATCCAGTGGGGGGTGGGGGGAAGGGGAAAACTTACAACCATGGGCACATCTCCCTCATTTTGTGTGTCTAGTTTTAAATAGTTTCTATTATTTCCTATTTACATTAACTTTCTTCCCCTTTCTCTGTCATTTTTAAAAGAATATTGAAAGTGTGGCTAAAATACATTTTACAATATTAGGTAAAGCTAAATCTGAATCTGCCGCTATGGTATCTTGTGCTGTGATCCACTCAATCCTTATGTACTGTCCAAGGTTGGACGACCTCCAAAGGACACCTAGCTGCCACAGAAAGTGGTGTTGGTGATTCGGTAGGTCTCTCTCTTCTGAATGAGTCGGTAGTTAAACCAATGCCCTGCTCAGTGTTGGATGGCAATATGATGCAATAGAAGACATCCTTCAGATGAAGCATCAAACCCAGAGTCCTGATTACTTGTGGTCACGATATATCCCATGACAATTTTATAAGACTTGGTGTATTAACTCCTCTGGTCTGGCCAAATTTCAGTTCAAGTGCTTATATTCTGCCCATCCACCCCTCGCCCCCCACAGAACTATTGGTATAAAATAGTCTTCTCTGCTTCCTCTCCCAAAACTGTTGGGTAATATTTCTATATTTAGTTAAGCAGCTGCTGAGCTGCACCCTAGAGGTGGCTGCAATTCAGCAGTGGTATGTATGTATTCCTTACATACTTCAGAAGGGATTGCAAAGCTTAATACAATGCTTGTAATGTGCTTTGAGACTCTTGGATGAAAGGTATCACAGAAATGCAAAGTACCAGTTGTATCATTATTAACTGGAGCTAGACAGACCACAGGTACGTGGTACCTGCGTCCCCTTTATACTCGAGACAAGGCATATAAATGATTATTGAGCAACAGTGTAGACATTGTAATAAAGGTTACAAAAAGGTAAGAAAACTAATTTTCTCCTTTAAAATAGTTATTTTGTTTTGGATAAAAGAACTTTAATGCAAACAAACTTAACCTTTATGGACTGATTCCAAGAAAACAAACGTTAACTAAATGACCATGAACGTTTAGGGCTATATCTTTAGCTAGTGTAAGTTGGTGAAACTCCACTGACAACAATGGCATAACCATATTTTGTGAAGGCTACATCTAGAGCTGGCTCTGAACAAAGCCCCCAAATCTAAACATCCCTGAACTTTGGGAAAGCTTTGATCCAGATACAGAGTTTGAGACTCTGAATCATTTCAGATGGGGAAGACCCAAGTCTGCTTTACAATAACATCTCCCATCGTCCTCCTGTCTTTTGATACTTCATAAACACTACACATAGAACCTCTTCTCCTTATGCACAACATCAGCTAACAGAGTTAGCTATTCCCATGTAGAATGTACCTCTGCCAAGTACATCATATTTTAACAGCAAGCTTTAAATCAATTGACTTGCTACCAATGAACAAGAAGGTTAAGGCACTAAAACCTCCACAGCCAGACTCTTCTAGGAGAAATTCAAGCCAACAAAAATTCCATGGGACTAGCAGAGTTTTACTGAGACAGACTTCAGAAATACTTAGTACAAAAACAGTGACACTCCTTTCCCGCAGCCACCAGAACAAAGACCAAGGAGTCATTTTACTGCCATTTGTAAACAAATGTATTATACAAATCCATTAAAAAAGCAGTTTCATTCATTTTAGTGGGAAAAACTTGAGGACAAACTGCTCAGGGGAGTTGAGGCTTCAGGGTATCACACATGGTAATGATTAAACTGGGTAATTTACATATAGGAAATGGAGTCAAACCAGCCCTTCTGACTTTATATACTGTGAATAGTTTAACAGTTAAGCCATTAACTACTCAGTACAAGTATCACCCATTTCAGGTTGCCATCAAGTAACATTGGGCCAAATTCTGCCCCCATAGAAGCCAAAGGGAGTTGTGACATTGGCTTCTATGGATCCAGGTTTTGGCTTTGTGGTTCTGAAAACCAGTGCTTCTGGGAAGGAAGAGGCAACAAGGGAAATAATTGCTGGCAGACACCGACGTGATTCTCAGCAGCAGTATCTCACAAGAAATACCACCTATGGAAAGTATCTAACTGCAGTGCTTGGAGCCAGTAGGTCAGATTCTCAGCTGGTATGGCCCATTATTTTGGGGGTAGCCACAGGTGACTGATACGGGCTGCCTCAACTCTGCTATGTGTAGAGTATGAAATAGACAGATGTACCTGGTGTCTAATTAGAATGACTGGGGGAAGTACACGTATATGGAGGTTCAACTAGCTCACAGTATACCCACTGGAGACAGAGATCCTCCAAGTTCAGCTGATGGTCTCTCTTACCTTTGCAAGGAAACTCCAGGCTGCATATTGCCATGAGGATGTGATGCTTTTTAGCTTCACTGTGTGCAACATCAGAAAGAATCCCAACAGTCCACTGTAAAGGATTGAAAAAGTTTCCATTAATAAAGAGAATTCTCTTAGCTTCTATTAGCCAGAATCTTACAGGTTTCTTGATATCTCTTTTCCTATTACAAAGCTAAACAAATGTTCCACAGGTAGTGTTATTCAAGAACTGGAGTTGGTGATTTGGTAGACAAAGAACTTATTTTATGTCCAAGAGACCCTGTTTTTTTCCAATCAGGGGCTGCAGTATAAGTAAGAACATTTGATGACCTCATGCTTGGTCTTTAATGGGTGCCAAAATGCACTAGCATAATCCATGCTCTACAGGTGACTGGAAACATGAAGTCAAATTCTGATGTTCCAATGGCTCTCATTCAAATCATTCAAGATTTCAATGGGAGCCAGACGTATACATTTGGCCCATATTCTCACTCAGTCCAACTTCTGTGATCGCTTGAGCTGAAACAACCACTGGAGAATTTCAGTTTCTAATATTGCCATATTGCTTAACCTTCCTAAAGACACAAACTTCAAATTAAAATGTCAAATGTATCTTCAATTATGGTGGATAGAGAATAAATTAATAAATCTGTAGTGTTGGGGAATAAGACGTCCTGATGCTCTTAACTGACAGATTAAGTGAATTCACAGAGCCATTGAGGGTTAACTAGTGAGGGGATTCAAAGAAATGCTTCAAACATACTTATGCAACACATTGTGGCATGACCAGGGGCATAAAGGGTTGCAAGACATCATCACTAGCAGCATGGGAGAGTGTGATGGGGTAATGAGGCTAAGGGTATGTCTACACTACGAAATTAGGTCGAATCTATAGAAGTCGGTTGTTTAGAAATCGTTTTTATACAGTCGATTGTGTGTGTCCCCACATAAATGCTCTAAGTGCATTAAGTCAGCGGACTGCATCCACAGTACCGAGGCTAGCGTCGACTTCTGGAGCGTTGCACTGTGGGTAGCTATCCCACAGTTCCCGCAGTCTCCACCGCCCATTGGAATTCTGGGTTGAGATCCCAATGCCTGATGAGGCAAAAACAGTGTCGCGGGGGAGTTCTGGGTACATGTCGTCAGCCCCCCCCCCACCCACACACACACGTGAGAGTAACGTCAGACAATTGTTTCGCGCCTTTTTTCCTGGGTTACCTGTGCAGACGACATACCATGGCAAGCATGGAGCCTGGTCAGCTCAGCTCACTGTCAGCATATGTCATCTGGGTGCCGGCAGACGTGGTACTGCATTGCTACACAGCAACAGCTAATTGCCTTTTGGCAGTAGACGGTGCAGTATGACTGGTAGCTGTCATTGGCTATCTGGGTGCTGGCAGACGTGGGACTGCATACAGCAGCAGCTCCTTGCCTTTTGGCAGCAGATGCTGTATTATGATTGGTATCCGTCGTCGTCGTACTCCTCAGTGAGTTCGGTCAGAGGCGCCTGGGCAGACATGTTTTGTCTCCTGGAGACTCAGTCCTGCCGGCAGTCCTATTGCACCGTCTTGACGATGATGGCTAGCAATCGTAATGCAGCATTTTCTGCCAAGCACCCAGAAGATGCCGATGGCTGTCAGTCATGCTGCCAGCCTAAGATGTAAAAGATAGATGGACCAGATTTGTTCTGTATTCATGTGCTTCCCGCTTCCTCCTTGAAATCAATGGCCTGCTAAACCCAGGGTTTTGAGTTCAATCTTTGGGGGGGGCCATTCTGTGTGACAGTTGTTTGTGTTTGTGGTTCTCCCTGATGCACAGCTGCCTTTGTTGATTTTAATTCCCTGTAAGCCATGTCATCACTCGCCCCTCCCTCCCTCCGTTTCGCGGCTTTTTTGAGCCCAGATGCCATAGCACTGGGATCATGGAGCCCGCTCAGATCACCGCGGCAATTATGAGCACTATGACCACCACGCGCATTGTCCTGGAGTATATGCAGAGCCAGAACATGCCAAGGCAAAACCAGGCGAGGAGGCGACTGTAGCGCGGCGACAAGAGTGATGAAGAAATAGACCTCTCACAAAGTACGGGACCCAGCAATGTGCAAATCATGGTGTTAATGGTGCAGGTTCATGCTGTGGAATGCTGATTCTGGGCCCGGGAAACAAGCTCTGCAGACCATCCGCTGAGGTGAGTCTGGGGGGAAGTCAGAGCCAACAGTGGGCCCCCAGCAGCAGGGAAAGCAAAGCAGCCCCATGTGGCAGGGGAGGAGCTCAGCCGGCAGACAGCTGCCTGGCTACTTCCTCCCTCCCTGAGCTGCCCAGGCACATAGAATGCCGCTGCCAGGGGAAATGCTGCCTCTTCACTGCTGGACATCCATCCCAGAGGCATCAATCTGGGGGGAGGGCATGTGACTCCACACTGCCGCCCCCTGCTCTGGCCCCAGCCCAGCTCCTCCCCCATCCCCAGTTCCGCCCCCAACTCCATTTTCAGTTCAAGCTCTGCTGCTGAGGAAGCCTTGGCTGTGCAGTATTGGGGGGGGAGGGGGAGGGAAGGGCAGCACAGGCAGATTCCATTAATGGGGAGGGGGCATGACTGGAAAAGATTGAGCACCACTATTCTATGCTGAAAGATTGTAACGATCTCTCAGGAACACTCCTCTGCACCAACAAAGGGAAGCATAGCTATGTGCAATGAGAAGCGCAGGAACATTTCTTCTTAAGTCATCTCTTAAAAACAAATCTTGAGGTAAATAAAATGCCCATTAGGATAAATGGCAGGTATATTGCTGACATTCTGCTTTTAGGCCAGGGTTCGTGTGCCTTACTGTGCAGTTTAATACTCCTCCCAGTTACTAAGACATCACTTGTATCGACTAGTTCTCATTGCTCTTTGTTCACTTATGTGTGTTCCCTTACCCACAATGCAGTCCAAACTGAACTGCTTTCAAATAAATACAGCCCCACTGTGTATTGGTAAAAACTATCCAGCTTACTTTTATTATGCATCTTCTGGGGTCCTTGGCAAGTCCTTCCTGACCCCCTAAACACACACACTTTTTAAAAGGTTGATGTTAACTATTTCACCCCTCCTCCATGAGCTAACAATGGTGACATCTAAAGTATGGTCATGGGCATCTCAGTGAAAGAAATGGGGCAGTTTACACCTCAGAACTATTGTTTCAGGCACTCTGCATGCTCAAGCTGACATTGCTGCATTGTTTATACTTACTTTGCATTTGTGAAGGTTTTCTTGGGAACCATAACAGCTAAAGACTTAGGCTATGTCTACACTGCGCACCTTACAACAGTGCAGCTGTGCCGCTACAGCCGCACCATTGTAAGGTACACAGTGTAGCCGCTGTCCCAGAGATAAAATAAGGGCATGTCTACACTTGCCATTTAAAGCAGAAAAAGTCTTTTTTGCACAAAAACCATGGGAGCATCTACACTTGCCAATGACTTGAGAGGCATACAGCTCTTACCAGTGATGCTCTTGCAGTGATGTGCAAGTGAAGACAGGTTCTTTCTGTTTACACAGCTTTTAGCCTCCTGGAGCTATCCCACAGTGCCTAGGTGACCACTCTGGCCAGCAGCTTTGCTGCTCTGATGCCAGATAAACGGACATCCACCCCTTCCCCTGTAAAGCCCCGGGGAACTTCGAAACTCCCCTTCCTGTTTTCTTGGCAAGTACTCACTTATCTGGCCAGGTAACAATGCCTGTTCCATGGAGCAAACCCCCTGCTTGGAGCAGTGCTGAACTACTGGAGCTGATCAGTGTTTGGGGACAGGAGGCTGTGCAGGGACCCAGGATGCCCCACGATCACCCCTCACCCCCTTCCCACAAGACCCATCGTCAAAATGGAGAGAACTGCTCTAGAGCGCTGATCTCATTCACGATGGAAGTGCTGCTAATGTAAACACTCTCTGATGCCTGAGGAAGTAAGTGAGTACACAAACCAGCGCTTTACTGTCACCAGTTCCCTATCACTGGTGAAACTTATAGCACAAAAACTCTGCAAGTGTAGACATACCCGCAAACCATTCCCAACGAGGGGCGGTAGCTTCGTCGCTGGGAGAGCGTCTCCCGTCAACAAAGTGCTATCCACACCGGCACTTTTCGTTGTTAAAAATTTTGTCGTTCAAGGGGGGGCTTCACACCCCTGAGCAACAAAAGTTTTAATGACAAAAGTACACTGTAGACATAGCCTTACTTTTCAAAAAAATGAAAGTGAGAACTCAGAGAGCAATTGAGAGGTCTGACAATATACCTCAACTATTCCTTTGTGCCTCCACTGTGGTGAAAGCTTCACCTTTTGGAAAACACTGATGTAAAGTACTATTTAACACAGGGTAGGGAGAGGAGAGCCTAGAGCACTGGTGACAAATCTGAGGCTCCTAGTGAGTGAGAGAGTGAGAGTGCATTCTCTAGAGTCTGAAACTGGATCTTGTCTACTGGAGGAGTGACCATGTAGCTGTTGTGGAATAACTCTATGTGGACACTATATCCTGGGAGAAAAGTGACTTGATTACAAAATAATTTCTTCACTCACAAAGAGAAGTAATTATTCTTTAATAAAGTCACTTTTATTTCAGAACCAAGCATCCACACAGGGGAGTTAGTTTGGAAGAGATCATTCTCTCCACTTCAGCCCCCTTCCCCCCCCCCCCCGCCATGAAAATAAATTGTAGCATCAGGACTATGATCATTTTTCACATTATGTCAACCCTTTCAATAGGTAAATAAGATCAAGTTAAGAAAATAAGAAAAGTCCCAAGAAACACCACAACTATTTTAGAACCATTTAGCATGAAAGTTGAAATTCAACTTAAGATATTAATGGATCTAGTGGACAAAGAATAGAAGATTAAGAGAAGGCTGCAAGTTTCAACAGAGCAAGGAGATATAGAATAAATAATGTAATTCTCACAGGATAACATTAGTAGGCTGTGAACTGTTGCTACTCAAAATTGTTACAGCCTTCCCCTTTTACACGACTAACCCATTCTGCCAAGTAACAAGATGTACAGGCAAATAAATCCATGCACACTAATATAGTGCTCAAGACTAATGCCTTGTAATCACCACAAACAGCAAGTTTTACAAGGCCTATTCCAATTTGGGAAGCGTTTGAGAGATGCTAAGATAACACTTAGTCCTGCCATGAGTGCAGGGGACTGGACTAGATGACTTCTCAAGGTCCCTTCCAGTCCTACAATACTATGCTTTCTATCAAAGGTTTGCTACGGTATGTAAAACTATTTTAATGGCGGCTGGGAACCCTCATGGCCACACTGCACATACCGATACCCCTTCCCCCTCTGATGAAACAACCCCTGGCAAATTTGAATCTCAGGCCCTCAATGGCATTTCAGAGGAAGTCAATGCTTTGCAGCTTTACTGGCTTGTGCCAAAACAGACTATTGTATCTAACTCAGGTTTTAACTGAGAGTCAAGGTTGGAAGTTGACAGAACCAATTATTCTAAAAGCATTCACACACCCCAGTATGGAGAGGTTACCTGGCACAGCAGCTGCTGTGAAATCTGTAGAAATACAGAAATGGAAAGTCCAAGGCACTGAAGAGATCACCTGAGGAACAAAGTAATATGCTCAGTGGAAAACTGGCAAAAATACACATAGTTACAAACAACTGGGGAACAACAATTAAATAGTTATTACAGTATTAGTTTAACATTCCTTTACAGCTGCCTGACTCTTTAAATTACTAAGTTTTCCACATTTATAATGTTTTTAATGATTCATTCCTGACTTTCTCAGTTCTAGCTGGTTCCTGCCTTTTGTTCAAAAAGGGAGAAAGGGTTGTAGAAAATGTAAAAGTATTCTTGGCTAATATGTTTCTAATGGCACATAAATGATTGTGTTGACACTGCAGTTTCCAATGACCAGGCATGCACCGCATTCGCTAGTTTTACTGGAGGGCCCCCAGGGGTGAATTTGTTTCCACTGAAGTCAGTTAATTCTTTTAGTTCCATGCTGTGCAACAGGAAACATTTACATGTATTGGCTGCTTCCCTCTCTGGAATTTGAACTCTGTCACAAACAGCAAGTCAGGAGGTTTAAAAATGTTCTTCCAAATATGAGCAGAGTAGGGCTGGTGAATATTTGCATTTCCAGGAAGTCTGACCCATAGAGCTCTCAGGAGTACCTAGTGTCTGGAGTTCTCTCACCTCCAAGCTCTACAAATTCTCAAAGTGTTTTCCTTCAATTTTTAAAAATGTGTGCCTATTTCACTGGGCATTTCTCTTTCATAATTCCTGATGGGAAGACACGGCAGGCACAGTGGCTTTATAAAGCACCAAAAGCTCCCACTAGCTGAAGAGCGGTACCTGTTCATTTCTTAAATACTTTTTCCCTTTGTCTTTCTGACTGGTTGAATCTTCTGTATAAAGAAATATGGACAGGTTCCACCGCCACTGCTTTGACTAGTAAACCACAAATTTGCCAGGAACTGGAATGGATCACTTGATGATTACCTGTTCTGTTCATTCCCTCTGGGGCACCTGCCATTGTCACTGTCAGAAGACAGGATACTGGGCTAGATGGACCTTTGGTCTGACCCAGTATTGCCATTCTTATGTTCTAACATGCCTCACCTCCCTGAATTATTACTTATCATTGGCCCTTTGGTCACAGTGAAGGACAAAATCCTACCATGGGCTGTGATGGAGGGGAGAAGTGAATAGTGGGAAAAAAAAAAAAGAGACCCCCTTACTCCATGTGCAAGGAGCAGAGTGAGACCTCAATTTAGCATTGAGAAGAGCATAAGGAAGGAAACCCAGCGTCCAGGCTCGCTGGTAGGCCTTGGTCTCAAGGGAGCAGTCTACCAGCTAATCCTTGGGACTAGCCCCCAGTCAGCTAAAATGCAAGCTATAGTCTGCAGTATCTGCTAGTCAGGGTCCCATGCTGCTCTTTTGCAAAGGGCGGGTAGGGTCCATATGACAGGCTATTAGATGCAATTAAATATCAGGTCATGGATCTCACAATGATAGGCGCCTTTCCCCTCTCCTTTCTGAACGTTGTATCATGGCCTAGATGGTCCTGATCCTACTCCCAGTTAATTCAGTAGCAAACCTCCTAGTGGTGCAGGATTCAGCCCTGTGGGAGGGCCTGAGACAAGTTTACTACAGTTATTTTGTCATAGCCTTCGTGCAAGCAATTCCACGTGGTTTTCTTGTTGACTCTTCAAGATTTTGCACCAGGATGTAGAGTCTGATCTTAAACTGCATACATTAAAAAAAAAAAATACAAACCAGAACCCATAAAAAATAAAGGTTAATACATTCTCTATTCACTTTACCTGCTGGATGGGATGCAGAGGCCAAAAGCACCACACTAAAGAAAGAAATGATAAATACTTTACTACAAATTGAATACAAAAGTTATGAATAAAGGAGGGTGCAAACAATCTGCTCACAAATGGACAGTGCACATAACTGTTCATTAATGAGTAAAGTTCTCCCCTATGCAATGGGACAGCACAGGCCTCTGTATCACTTACGTCATCAAAATGGAGCTTAAGTGGGACTAAAAAAATAATAATAAATAAATGGAGATATCCTATCTCCTAGAACTGGAAGGGACCTTGAAAGGTCATTGAGTCCAGCCCCCTGCCTTCAGTAGCAGGACCAAGTACTGATCCTAAGTGGCCCCCTCAAGGATTGAACTCACAACCCTGGGTTTAGCAGGCCAATGCTCAAACCACTGAGCTATCCCTCCCCCCTATAGTGTGCAAGCCTTGAGCTCGCTCTCTGTACAAGAATTTTGACCTTGTGTGTGCAAACAATGATTTGTGGGCATGATTGGGGTAACTGCATGTGCAAATTAAGCATCCAGTTCCACATGTATGTTTGTGCAAGCACTGTGTGCCCATATTTGTGAGAATCACACTCAAAATGTCACTTAGATGCAAGGAACAAGTATTCATGTTACAATTAGAACATCTATAAAGAAAGAGCATACTAGTGAAACTCCTGGCCTCAGCAGAACTAACAGCATTTAGTTTTCTTTTCTAAAGCTATTCACTGCTGAGTTCCAAACACACTCAACACTGGAAGGGGAATTTTAAAGAATATTTATCAATGCACATTTTCTCGCATATATAAATTATAAAATCAGTCAGGGCCGGTTCTAGGTTTTGTGGCCTTTGAACTAAGATTTGTGAGGCCCCAGCCTGACTTCTAAGACTGACATAACCAGAGCCAACACCACAAAACTAAAGGGTGAAGGGACTCCCAGTCAATACTAATGTCTCTCCTGAAAAGCACCTGTTGTTCAGTTACCACCCTGTCTCCAAGGATAAAAGACTACAGAATTATTGGTCCTTCACCATGCACAAAGATTCTGTGGCTTTATGATTTCAAAGAAGCTATGCTTCCAAAGCCAAGTTCTAGCTGCTTCCAAATTGGAACAAGACAGCTGTCCATGATGGTCACTGGAGGAAAAGCAACAAAGATGGAGGGCAGCAGTTCAGCCAGAGGCCCTGCTTTTTACCTGACTGACCATTGGTAGGCACTGCAGTTATGAAAGTGAAGAGACATGCTGAAGGCATCACAATTTCCCCCAATTAACTGCTACTGTCTCCTGCAGTCCTAGGGCAGATCTAGGATGGCTGCAAGGTACCAACCCAACCAGTAAAGCCATGGAGGCCTACACAATGAGAAGGAGTTGTGGCTGCCAAAGACAGGGCCTGCAGCAGGGTCTTACTAGAGTTCAATGAAGCATGGAGCTTTTCTGGCTGGTGCAGGGCATATGTTGATACTAAGGTCCCAAAGGGTGTGGAGGTGAGGGTCCTGGCTCTGAAACCAGTAGTGCAGTACACAAGGCAAAGGGGGAAATTACATGTTAAGCATATGGTCAAGTGGCTTAGGCTTAACATTTTCTTCAGAATACTTAAACTATATATTACCTGGCGGAAAATGTCCAGTCTCTAAATATCTGTATTTTTAACAAACAACTGTTGTGCCACAAAGACATTAAAAAGTCAACATTTCTAGATTGTTGAACACACAGTATGTAATTCTCTGCTGCTGCCTCCAAACTAGATACCCAGAAGGCGCTTCAGTTAAATAAACCCCAATTCCACAAATTTATGGACATCATCAATTCTGCTGGTAAACCTAGCAAAGGAGGTGAAGGCACGTTGCTTATTACTCAATATGAAACACAACAAGGGAATGAAAGCACAAATGAAGCTGCATCGACAGTGGCTACGGCTGTGCTACAGTCCCCATTTTTGCTTTGTACATATTTTACTGATAAGATTATGGAGAGTAGGAAATGTGTATATGTTTGCCTGGGTAAGAAACTTCATCTGCAAGCAAGGGGAATTGATAACCCTTTGACATCCCAGGCTCAGATCCAAAGGAAACAAAAATCTTAGTGGGGCAAGGGGCAGCCTAAGCCAGTGGGTTAAAACTGAAGTAAGCTGCACTGTATTTATGGTCTCAACTGGACATCTTGTGGCACTGCCTGAAGGACTCCGGGACTTCCCAAAAGACAATTTAGGACACTAGGCAAGGGATAAGGAGTAGAAGCACTAGATCTCTGATTTTCCCAAACCCACAATATTTTATTTTGGGCTGCACCTTGTATGCTTTTCTGTCCGATTATGGGGCAGTTTTGCCAGCAAGAAAAGCAATTTATGCCTGCAAAGCTGGCCTTCATCATAGCAAAAAAATCCAGTGCAGCTTTTTGTGCTCATAAATGAGAAAGCCTAGCAACTCTTCCTAAAGCCACTTCTAATGTGGGTGTGCACTCTTACAGGCTTTACACATATTTCTGTCAACACACTTGAATCAAAACCTGAAAACACCCCTCCCCTTCTATGTCCTAGGTTTCTCTTGGCCAGAGACTACCAGTTGTCTGCACTTCAGTTTCACAGACAAACATCCAATAGATTAAGAGCAACAAACTCAGCCTTTGCTCAGTTTATGGAATTGCCATCATTTCAGGTTTGACAAACATTTGTCAGGTTGGGATGTATTTAATCCTTCCTCGTCGTGGGGTGGGGGAGTGGACTAGATGACCTCTTGAGGTCCCGTCCAGCCCCACATTTCTAGGATTCTGTGTAAGGAGTGGCACACAGCCATCTCTCCACAGGCAAAAACTTGGGAAGGAATTGTGACTCATTGTTTCTAGGAGAAGCAATTAGTGCCACCACTTTCCAGGTGCACATTACTTTGCCCTCACACTGCACACCCTGCCAGCTCTGCTAGTCACAACATGGGATGGGGAGGAGGAGGACGGAACCAAAACTGCACCCAGTCCTTGCCCAATTGCTGTGGGGGAGAGTACCCAGCATGCATTGACACCTCTTTGCCCACCCCTCACCCACACTCCAGCCAAGAGACAGGAAGCACTAGCATCAGCATGTGTGTGAGCAGGACCAGGGCCGGCTCTGGCTTTTTTGCCGCCCCAGGCAAAAAAGCCTCCCGCCGCCCCTCCCCCACCCCAGCGCGGCAGGGAAGGGCGCCGAGCCCGGCCGCAGGCCGCTTTCCCCAACCGGCCAGAGCGCCGGGGGGAGGGCGGCGAACCTGCCGCGGCTCCACTCTCCCGGGCGGCGAGTCAGCCGGGGCTCCGCTCTCCCCAACCGGCCGGAGCACCGGGGGGAGGGCGGCGAGCCCGGCCGGGGCTCCGCTCTCCCC